TGTGGTGACATTAGTGAAATCCATTCAAGCAGTTAAACGTTTTCTGTTTAAATAGGTTGCTAAGCAACGCTGCGTTGTCCCTGTCTGATGATTGACTGATACGAGTAATGAAACAGGGCTACTTGTTACACCGACACAACGACGCTGCCACAGCTTCTGTCGCACCAGGCGTGCAGAAAGACCTCTAGGCCGCTGCGATTTGATAATGTGTTTGTCTGGATCACCGCCTCGATCTAAACGAAGGGGTGTTGTTTTACGCCGTCGACAGGACTATTCCAGCTTCACCACTGCTGCATTTACGATAACAGGATCCGATACAGGCAAACCAGTGATTGATAACATAAGCAACACTCCATCTCCAAAAGTGTGAGCGAAGAGTGAGTTGGGTTTAACGCAGCTTTGAAAAGTATTCCAGTTATATCGCGGCGTGTCAGCTGAATGTGGGAGGAAAGCCCGAAGTGATGCAGGTCTCAGACGTTTACCACTCCGGTGAAACCAACGAGTATGGTATGGTCCTGACAAACCTAGAAACATAATCTGGGCGAACCGGGATTCGAACCCACGATCATAGATCTGCACAGCGAATGGTGGCGCTTTAGACGGCTGGGCCTCCCGGGCTATGAGGATATAACTGAAACACCGTCCACCGTTGTGATGAACACAGCTAACTTCAAGCAAATGAACAAAGAGTGAGTGAGTGAGTTGGGTTTAACGCCGCTTTTAACAGTATTCCAGTTATATCACGGCGTGCCAGCTTAATGTGGGAGGAAAGCCCGAAGTGATGCAGGTCTCAGACGTTTACCACTTCGGTGAAACCCACAAGCACGAGTATGGTGCTGACAAACCTAGAAACATAATCGGGGCGAACCGGGATTCGAACCCACAATCATAGGTTTCTGGCGTGCCCAAGGGACGCAACTCTGCACAGCGAATCGCGGCGCCTTAGACGACTGGGCCACCCGTGCCCCCAAATGAACCAAGAAAGGGATGACATTTAAATAATTGTAATGAAGGTATTATTGTTTAATAACGGACAGTTCGCTATCTTGTGGCAAGTCGTAGTTCAGGCGTCTAAGTACTAAATTTTCTATCTCCCCTGCACGTCTTGTTGACTGCTCAACCCTCAACGCTGCTTGAAAATTCAAAGGATTTGAACATTCAGCTGTAAAATGCATCCCTACAGAACTTAGAACATTTCATAATTTGTTTATCTCCGTTGAGTAACATTTCTAGAAACATATTTCAGCTATTTGTCAAATATCAACACCAGATCTAGGTTAAACATCTACACACACTTGAATATATCAAATAGAGTAATTAAGTGTGGCCTTACTTCCAACACAACAACGGCCGTATGATTAATAACATAATTATCTCTCCCAGTCATTATGCTCGCCCGTCATCTGCCCCAGCCGGCAATGATGTTTCGGACGCCGAGACTGCTGATACTGCAGACGCCGAGAGTTCAGCGGAGGGGAATGCCTCAGAGAATATTAAGGAGACATTATTCTACGACATGGAATCCATTCTAAACACAAATCGATAACGCTTGAGAGGCGCAATATGCCGCATGGTAGGACGAGCCAAGGGCACCTTCTCTGCTGGCAAGGTCACTTTGCACTTGCTGAAACGCTAGTTGGAAAGCCGACGTGTTCACGTATGCCATTATATGAACTTGTTGAAACGCTAGCTGGAAAGGTGACGAGTTCTTGTATGCCATTATATGAACTTGCTGAAACGCTAGTCTGTAAGCCGACGTGTTCTTGTATGCCATTATATGAACTTGCTGAAACGCTAGCTGGAAAGGTGACGAGTTCTTGTATGCCATTATATGAACTTGCCGAAACGCTAGTTTGTAAGTCGACGTGGGTGTTAATGTATGCCCTTATTTGGTTCGAGGAATTAAAACATGTAATATCACAGGAAAATAATTTTCGAAAAAAATGAAATTACTGAAGGAAACAGTTACAATAATTGTATTAGATATTTTGAAAAAAAAATTGACGCAAAACTTTAGCACTGATAGCAAAGCAGTCAACTTTAGGGACCGAATATTTAATATTGGGGGGATGTTTGTTTGAGACAGATTATATTTCAATCACTGTTTCAAACAAACAATTATTTCTGTCTGATAGGGGGAAACAGAAAATGTTTTGTGACAACACATATTTGTTCAGTATATCCAGAATGGCCAGTGAATAATTGTTTTTGTAAATTTTCACGAACCAAATCAGTTATCCCATCACCCGTTTTTCCTTTAACGACGTCACCGTCTCCATCTTCTGTTATTACTAATCTAGCAAATAATTTCACTCGCTCGTGTGAGTAATTTGATTGGATGGATATTTTTAACATTTTTTAATTTAACTCTGGCTCAAAACTGAGCTATGGTGGCGATCGGGTGCAGGGCAAATATCATAATAGAAAGGAGATATAATACCCTGCATAACAGAAGATGGTCTCCAATGTCTACATTTTACGCAAGGCACTATTTATGAATATCGGATCGGGGAGAGTAGATTTAAATCATCTATCTAGATGTTTGTCGTAACGCTTGAAGAATGGCGATGCATCGGGTTACAGGGTTCTAGTGAATCAACTGTGTACCCGTCGCAAACATGCCACGGTGTTAATTGGGCGCCATCTGTGACGATCTGCGACAATGGATCTTTGAAGGATCTTAGACGGATCTTTGACGGTTTGGGAATGCTGACCTAGTATGTGCTTTTCTAATGTGAAACCAATGACGACAGTGAAACAAGAGATAAATCATCAGAACATTTTGTTTCGATCCCGAGATGTAGAAGGTGAAGGTCAACCTGCGCACATCGTCGACTGTACCGGACACTGTACATGATTGTGATGGAGACCCATCTTGCGCGACTACTGGCTGGGGTAGCCTTGTGGTTTAAGCGTTGGATGATGACGCCAAAGACGCGGGTTCAATTCCCAACATGGGTACAATGTGTGATGCGGTGATATTGCTGGAATATTGCTATAAGCGGCGTAAAACCATACTCACTTACAACTGATAATAGGAATCTAGAACTAACGCTTGGAAATAATGACGCCCCTACCTCAACCGTCATTTTCGTGTCAGTGGTCGAAATAAAGTTATCCCATTCAAAGGTCAAATAAAAGTTTTAAAAGGTTTAAGGGTTACTTTCCATAGGTATTAGGCATTAGACTCGACGGGAAGTTAAAAGTTTGTCTCAAAAATATATTTCCCATTGCCCCCCCATTAGCCTCCTAGGTAGTACAGGTGTGCTCAATGGGGACTGAATCATTGAAACTCCCCGAGCCCAGGTCAAGGGGCGTACCCAAGGGGGATGAATCCATTGAATGTCCCAAACTCCATCTCGGTATGCTGCTGTGACAAGCAATGAGTCTGGGAAATCCTCCCGAACCTGAATACCCTCATTGACACATTTCACGTGAAAGGAAATACTGATGGCGTTAAACCCGCTGTTTACTTATTGTATGGTTATGAACGCGAGAACACAACCGAGCTGTTTTCGCACAATTCAACATACATATTTCGTTGGTTTGTGAAGCTAAGAGATAATTTGTATATGCATGTATAACGATGCATATATTCATTATTGCATATGTGTATTTAGAGTGACTGTGTTGGGTTTAACGCAGCTTTAAACGATATTCCAGCGAATCAGGTTGATGTTGGAGGAAAGCTGGAAGTAATGCTCTTTGGTGAACCCCACGAGCACGTGTATGGTGATGACTGTTGCGAACTCACGATCAAGGGACGCAACTCTGCGCAGGATTTAAGTAAACACCAGTATTCGTGTTGTGCACGAGATTACATTGACCTTTAGAAACCAGCGCAGAATACCATAAGTGGTTGTCATGTTGGTATTTAACAGGGCGACATTCAGTTACCCAACTGACACAGTTTTCACTCCGTTTGTCGTCAGTTTTGTTCGAGACCATGCTATACCATCTTGGCCCTTCACACCGAAGACTCAGGTTCGACTCCCGACATTGCTGTTAACTCATTCCCCGTGTCCTTAGCGTGACTAGCAACATATGGAATCGCTGAGAACTCGCTGACAGGAAAAGTGACGTCACGCTTGGTACAGATAGGGTCGACTGAAGCTTGTTCCAATATGGATTCCTGCCAGTAGTGGCCGAGGTTCTATATAGCGCTAAGTCGAACCGAATGCCTTTCTTAGTATAACGGAAAGATCCGAGTAATGACGAATGGCAGGTTGCCGAATCGGACTTACCAAGAAGCGCGATTGGCGCCCCCGCGATGGATCTTAATCGGTTACATATTAAAACAGTGCATAATCACATTATATAAGACATAATCTAAACAGGTGCAATCGATACTTATTTTATCACGATCCCGTGAGACTTTTCCCTCTCGATATGCGATACATTGCGTGTACATGCGGCTGCGCATCAGAACTGTCAGAACCATCTAAAATCCATAAAAGGCGTTAGATACTAAGATTCTAAGGGGCAGGGTTTCCGATCTATTTTCTGATTGACTTATTGTATTCCAAAATGCCCTGTACTCCAGAATGTCTTGGTAATATATATAATAATGTTCTGTGAAAACTTGTTTGATAGGCATTACTTAGAAGTTGGCGGATGACAAGATAGACACAATTTTATGGATAACAACTTCTTTAATACTGTAAAAAGCGACGTTTCGGTATAGATCCTTATACCGTTGTCAAGCAAGACAGTCTTCGAGAATCACGAGAATGTCCGAATGTGCATAGTTGTAACGCGCCATTTCAACACCCTAAAGCATACTCAGAGCGCTCCATTATTACCCCGGGCGATGGATCAGTGCCACTTTCATTCTCAGCTCCCTGAGGGGTATACAACCCAGGCTGCATGTGAGGCGCTGGAAGATGAACAGTCGTCTTCTTAGGGACGTCAGGGACCACGTGTGATATACCACTGTTTACCATTGTGAAACAGTCTGCATTTAGTAGCGGAAGCGTGTAACGCCTCACATCCTGTCTTACCTTGTTGCCAGACAATGAACTTCCCGTCATGTCATGTCGCTTGATGTGAAGACTGAAGCCATCGGGTATCCCTGGGAGATTCCATTCGTGGATAGGGGTGTTCTCCATCGCAAGCTGAAATCAGTAGAACATATATTTGAAAGGACGGAGTAGAATATGGGCTCTTACAGATTGTACTACACTAAATCAGAATCAGTCGTTCGACCATAACTGTTCAGAGCAGATGGCCTCCCTTGGCAGCAGTGATTGGATGATTTTGTGTTAAAAGTTTCATGTTTTTTAAATGTACTTCCTTCCAGTAATTAAAACTGACCCTGTTGTGCATTTCCCTAAGCACCCACGTTGTACACATTTCCAGTGCACACATGTTAGCCTACGGTTGTTGAGTCTGTATCTGTAGCCATCTAGTAGGACTTGCTGACCTTGCTATCATATGACCTTTTTGTGACATATGATACTAGACCTTCTTCGGGTCTGCCATGTCTGGATCTCTAACATGCCAGTTGCTGTTGTTGTTGTTGCATTCAGTGTTTAAGAGGTCGCCTTCTGCCTAGGCAATTTCGGCTGACCTGTCCCTCTTTGGGACTCATGAGTGTGAGTAGGGTACACTATCTATTGTGAGTTTGGTGTTCACATAATTTCTGTTTTTGTATTGATATGATTTCTATTTTCTTATATTGATATGATTTCATTTTTATCCTTGGCTGCTCTGTTTATATACGTTCGAGTAACTGTCCATCTCTCAGAAATAGAGTTAGTTTGGCCTTCGCTATTGCATCTCTTGGCTTTAGGAGATCTATGACCGATAGCGGATCTAACTGCAATTCTTGTTTTAACCTAGCCCGGGCTGGGGCATTGTCTTGACATTCTAGTAACACGTGATCAATGGTTTCAGGCTGATTGCAAGATGAACAAACCTTGTCATAGTGCTTTTTTGTGACCGAGTCTGAGGCGTGAGGTAGCAATTTCAATTTTCCTTTCATTTGAGTATGAGTTTGGCTTTTGTTGGACCTAGGGTTGAATTTTGTATAGCCATCTGCCGATCTTACTTGCGTCCCATTGGGCTTGCCATCTTTCTGCTATGGAGGTTTTGATCTTGCTTTTTATCTCTAGTTTACTAAAGGGAATAGGCTGTATATCCGCTTTGTCTAGAGCTAGCTTCGCCAATGAGTCTGCTTTTTCATTTGCATGAATATCTATGTGAGAGATGATCCAACACAGCTCCACCTGTTGCCCTTGGTCCGATAGTTTTGTATATTCGTATAGAATATTGTTGACTGTGTTTGCCAGTCTTCGATAACTATATTTTATACTGGAAAATTTCCTTCTCAAAGTTTATCATCAGTTACTTTAAAACATTTTTCTTCTACTCTCATTTTACAGAAAATCCATATTTCCTGCTCCGGTTATCAAAGTACGATACCATCTAGGAAAATAAATTTATACAAAGGTCAAATATTTTCACAATCCCAGTAACATTTCTAAGGCATTTATTAGTCTGTGTTTACAGTGTAGGCAATAGTGAACACTAAGTGGAGTAGACCACTTGAGTGCAGGGGTGCGTGAAACAGTGTGTACACTAAAACAACAACTTTTGTAGGCATTAGTCACTGTAGGCATTAGTCACTGTAGGCATTAGTCACTGTAGGCATTAGTCACTGTAGGCATTTGTCACTCTAGGCATTTGTCACTGTAGGCATTAGTCACTGTAGGCATTAGTCACTGTAGGCATTTGTCACTGTAGGCATTAGTCACTGTAGGCATTTGTCACTGTAGGCATTAGTAGACCTAACCGATCAAAGTAGGGTCGTTGTAGGGTTAATACGTTCAATGGCGTCACGCTTCTACGGCTAAGTTTGATTGAAATTCTGTTCAGATTTTCTATTACAATATGAGGGGCAGGATCAAATTATCTAAATACTTTAATGATGATAATGATGATGATGATGATGATGAAGATGACATTCATCTCCATCAGCCACCATGTCACATTTTGGAAGAAGCTTTTTGAATGACTGAAAGATGGAATTAGGTTTAAGAAGCTCAATATTCAACAAATAAAATTCCGAGTTTAGAAGTGAGTCACAATCTGTGCAGTTCTCTGAAGAGAGGAGCGGTCGGGTAGCCTAGTGGTTAAAGCGTTCGCTCGTCACACCGATGACCCGGGTTCGATTCCCGACATGGGTACAATGTTTGAAGCCCATTTCTGGTGTCCCCCGCCGTGATATTGCTGGAAGATTGCCAAAAGCGGCGTAAAACCATACTCAATCACTAACTCACTCACTGAAGAGAAACATTACAATGCTGATTTGACAATTCAATATCCTTACGTCTTTCATTAAATATACATACTAAGCTACCTCAGTCTCCATAAACTTGTGAACTCCATAGAAATGAACATAAATGATTGATGTTACTCAGCTAGACTAGCATTAAGTCCCAGAAATAATGTTCTCTTTTCAATAAATATATGTCTACAAAATATAAATCCAAAAGGAGCCCAGAATGCCTAATTTCAGCTTAGGGAATCTAGACTTGCCAAATCACTCAAGCTCTGAGAAGGATTCCGATATTAATTTATTCCCTAGGGTCTGGCAGAGAGACAATTACTCGGCCATCGACTGGGCAATCAGGAGTCCATGTCGTGACCTGGTATTGTGGCTGTTGTATTCATGATTTATGTATGATAATAGAATTTCCAAACACATTACAGAGAACTGGTTGTGCTGTTGAGACGTGACTCATTACAAGTAATGTAATGTATATCCCGATGTCAGTCCCGATGTCAGTCCCTGTGTCCCGATGTCAGCCCCTGTGTCCCGATGTCAGTCCCTGTGTCACGATGTCAGCCCCTGTGTCCCGATGTCAGTCCCTGTGTCCCGATGTCAGTCCCTGTGTCCCGATGTCAGCCCCTGTGTCCCGATGTCAGCCCCTGTGTCCCGATGTCAGTCCCGACGTCAGCCCCTGTGTCCCGATGTCAGCCCCTGTGTCCCGATGTCAGTCCCTGTGTCCCGATGTCAGTCCCGACGTCAGCCCATGTGTCCCGATGTCAGTCCCTGTGTCCCGATGTCAGTCCCGATGTCAGCCCCTGTGTCCCGATGTCAGCCCCTGTGTCCCGATGTCAGTCCCGACGTCAGCCCATGTGTCCCGATGTCAGTCCCTGTGTCCCGATGTCAGCCCCTGTGTCCCGATGTCAGCCCCTGTGTCCCGATGTCAGTCCCGACGTCAGTCCCTGTGTCCCGATGTCAGCCCCTGTGTCCCGATGTCAGCCCCTGTGTCCCGATGTCAGTCCCGACGTCAGCCCATGTGTCCCGATGTCAGTACCTGTGTCCCGATGTCAGCCTCTGTGTCCCGATGTCAGCCCCTGTGTCCCGATGTCAGTCCCGACGTCAGCCCATGTGTCCCGATGTCAGCCCCTGTGTCCCGATGTCAGCCTCTGTGTCCCGATGTCAGCCCCTGTGTCCCGATGTCAGCCCCTGTGTCCCGATGTCAGTCCCGACGTCAGCCCATGTGTCCCGATGTCAGTACCTGTGTCCCGATGTCAGCCTCTGTGTCCCGATGTCAGCCCCTGTGTCCCGATGTCAGTCCCGACGTCAGCCCATGTGTCCCGATGTCAGCCCCTGTGTCCCGATGTCAGCCCCTGTGTCCCGATGTCAGCCCCTGTGTCCCGATGTCAGTCCCGATGTCAGCCCCTGTGTCCCGATGTCAGCCCCTGTGTCCCGATGTCAGCCCCTGTGTCCCGATGTCAGCCTCTGTGTCCCGATGTCAGTCCCGATGTCAGCCCCTGTGTCCCGATGTCAGCCCCTGTGTCCCGATGTCAGCCCCTGTGTCCCGATGTCAGTCCCGATGTCAGCCCCTGTGTCCCGATGTCAGCCCCTGTGTCCCGATGTCAGTCCCGATGTCAGCCCCTGTGTCCCGATGTCAGCCCCTGTGTCCCGATGTCAGCCTCTGTGTCCCGATGTCAGCCCATGTGTCCCGATGTCAGCCCCTGTGTCCCGATGTCAGCCCCTGTGTCCCGATGTCAGCCCCTGTGTCCCGATGTCAGTCCCGATGTCAGCCCCTGTGTCCCGATGTCAGCCCCTGTGTCCCGATGTCAGCCTCTGTGTCCCGATGTCAGCACCTGTGTCCCGATGTCAGTCCCGATGTCAGCCTCTGTGTCCCGATGTCAGCCCCTGTGTCCCGATGTCAGCCCCTGTGTCCCGATGTCAGCCCCTGTGTCCCGATGTCAGCCTCTGTGTCCCGATGTCAGTCCCGATGTCAGCCCCTGTGTCCCGATGTCAGTCCCGATGTCAGTCCCTGTGTCCCGATGTCAGTCCCTGTGTCCCGATGTCAGCCCCTGTGTCCCGATGTCAGCCCCTGTGTCCCGATGTCAGCCCCTGTGTCCCGATGTCAGCCCCTGTGTCCCGATGTCAGCCCCTGTGTCCCGATGTCAGTCCCGATGTCAGCCCCTGTATCCCGATGTCAGCCCCTGTGTCCCGATGTCAGTCCCGATGTCAGCCCCTGTGTCCCGATGTCAGTCCCGATGTCAGCCCCTGTGTCCCGATGTCAGTCCCGATGTCAGCCCCTGTGTCCCGATGTCAGCCCCTGTGTCCCGATGTCAGCCCCTGTGTCCCGATGTCAGCCCCTGTGTCCCGATGTCAGCCTCTGTGTCCCGATGTCAGCACCTGTGTCCCGATGTCAGTCCCGATGTCAGCCTCTGTGTCCCGATGTCAGTCCCTGTGTCCCGATGTCAGCCCCTGTGTCCCGATGTCAGCCTCTGTGTCCCGATGTCAGTCCCGATGTCAGCCTCTGTGTCCCGATGTCAGTCCCGATGTCAGTCCCTGTGTCCCGATGTCAGCCTCTGTGTCCCGATGTCAGTCCCGATGTCAGTCCCTGTGTCCCGATGTCAGCCCCTGTGTCCCGATGTCAGCCCCTGTGTCCCGATGTCAGCCCCTGTGTCCCGATGTCAGCCCCTGTGTCCCGATGTCAGCCCCTGTGTCCCGATGTCAGCCCCTGTGTCCCGATGCCAGCCCCTGTGTCCCGATGTCAGCCCCTGTGTCCCGATGCCAGCCCCTGTATCCCGATGCCAGCCCCTGTGTCCCGATGTCAGTCCCTGTGTCCCGATGTCAGCCCCT